ACAATAAAGAATATTGAATTACAACTAAAAATATGTTGCTGTCCGTCTGTATCTAAAAAAAACACTGTTGAGTAGTGTACAATTGACAAAGCTATCTGAATATGGATATGTTTACATCTTCGCGATATGCATAGAACACATTCCTTTTCAACCGTCGCTTACATGCCGAAAGATGAAACGATATGACTCATACCATTGTGTTACATTCAGGCTCACGTACCATAAATGGAACACATTTTATGTAAAAAAATAGAACAATTGACGTCAAACTATGACGTAATTTTGCATTCCACATGGAATGGATCGCATTGAAATATCAGATGTTTACATTTATTCTTTCATCACCTTCATTATGGTCTGAAAAACAACGCAATTGAATTGAAAATTTAAGTAAATATTTTTCACTCTTGAAATGATGAGTGGTGTTTTTTTGACGAGGCTATTTGAATATGAAAATGTTTACATCTTCTCGGTATGTACAAAACACACTCCGTTCCAAAGTCGTTTCAAATTTGAAAAATAACCATAGGTGGATCGTCGATTACATGCCGTTACAAAATAAATGTTTGAACGCACCACACAACGCTGAAAACAAACCACTTTTGAGGTGATATCCCATGCTACATTTTTGTGGTGTAAAGTACCTCACAAATGTTTTAGAGTACGGAATCATATTTAGTTTACATCACAAAATAAGGTGAATACTGAATACGTTGAAAAAAGACATAAGCTAATCTCATACGAAACCAGAGCCGTACTTAGTAGCACTTTCCATATACATATATGTAGACAGCTTCTCAACTATTTTTTAATTTCAATGAATGTACACACGAAAATAAGTACCTAGAATCTGGGATACATAAAACAGAATAAAAGTTCTGTCCCTGTCGCATTTTGCACCATCACAACCTATATCTATGGGTGACATTGAGAGTATTGTATGTTTCACAGACTTTATATTGCAAAAATTATTTGTTTTTGTATTTGTGTGAGTAAGATAGAGTAGGTGTTCAAGCAGTGGGCAAATCTTCTAATAATTCATTTATTTCAACTGAATAACGATCATTGTCTACAGATTTACATTTTCGATATGTTATTAACCCTCTACTGCGCCACTTTTTTTAAGAGTTGCTAATACTATAGATGTGTTGAGTTTTAGCCGAGGAAAACGAAAAAAATAAAATAATTTCCCGAAAAGCTTTCCCTTAGCCGGAAAATGGGAAAAACTTTTCGAAATTTGAAAACGCGAAAGTTCATATCTTAAAAACCAAAATGAGAATTTCAATGATTTAAACGGCTATGTATGCGTCTCGGAAATACCTTTCAAATGAAGGTATTCATGCCTGGATATCTAGTCAAATGCGCCCTCCAAGCCTACTTTTTTGAAATTTACCCTTTACTTCGCAACACCGCCTTTTGGCGGAATTCGAAATTTTCCGATTTTGAGGGCGTATAACTCGACACCAGCATGCCTTAGACTGGTAAAGTTATATATCAATTCAAAGCTAAGAACCTGCCAAATGCAATACCACTATATTTTAATCAATTTAGAATGTGGTACCCGAGCTATGACCCAATTTATGCACCCCGCCTTTTGGCGGTCTTGCGAACTAAAGGGTTAATATGTTATTGCCCGACATATTTATTATTATGTTGTGTTGGGTTTTTTTATATCTGAATAACGTTATTAAGATTCAGCATAACAATAACATATGTAATATGTTATGCGTTATATCGGGTGTTATCTTAATAAATCCTAAGATTCGGCGGTAATAACATTTTATTAACAATAATAATAACATATTATTAAGATGCAATCTTAATAACGCTTTTTTCGCGCATTCTTTTCCCTAGCTGGAGCAAAAAAAGCACTGTACGGTGTACACACCTATAACAATGCAGACAAAATATGGTAAATTGATCCTTTCAAGGTCGGGACTGGCGATTTCCTAAACTTAATGGTTAAGTTCAAAACATGATAATTCCGTTTCAAAGAGTAATTTTAATTTCATTGCAATAGTGCAAAAATTCATGTGTGTACTCCGCAGTGAAAAAACAACTTGTCAGTGCTCCGGCGAAAAAAATGCGCGAAAAAAGCGTTATCAATATGTTATTATTATAGTTAATAATATATTATTAGCACCGAATCATAGGATTTATTAAGACAAATCCAACATATTCAGTAACATATTATGTTATTATTATGCTGAATCTTAATAACGTTATTATTATGTTATGTTGGACCAATATATCGGCCGTTATTATTATGTTATTAAGTTTAGTTAATAATATGTTATTGCCTGTAAATCTGTATCATTGTCTTTTGCAAAGTTGTACAGTTTGACCAGACCAACAATTAAGTTTCTCCAAATTAGTACACATTAAGCCCAGAATTAATTGTAGTGACTCGAAAATAATTGTAGAAGCACCTATGGCTACAAAAACAATAACACTGCTGTTGTCAAATTGGTTTTTGAAAACATTGAGAATCGGACGATATGGACCCTAGAAACAATAGAAAAAAGATTTAGTTTGTGGAAAGTTCGATTTGGGGCCAAGATTTGAGTATTACCGATTTTGGACCAATTTTCATGACTCGTCCCGATATCGAACGAACGGGCAGACATATTTGAAAACAGACAATTGATTTGAATTCTACAATTTATCTTCATTTTTTTGAAAACATTCTCCATTCGAAAAAAACATTTGTTTCATGGAAAATGCGTTTTTTGACCAAGATTTGAGTATCCCCATTTCGGAGCGGTTTTTCGATAGCCGATTACTCAAAAAAAACACTCTTCGACTGAAACTCCTGCTGGGCAACACAACAGTCGACGGTCTCCTTCTTGTTCATTCTTTCCTTGGCCATATGGAGGAGGGTAATTCCATCTTTTGCATGTTGACATACAAGCGACGTCATTGTTTCTTCTACCTTTCACGGATAAGTCCCCCAAGCTATTGCGTTCATTGCGTGGACATTGGGACAGAAGAAGGTGGCAATTGGTTGGCGTGCAGGGGCCCCCATTATATGGTCGACCCTAAGTAGAACATCAACATTAATTTCTAATTAATTTGATCCATTAAAACTTTAATTCAAAAAAATTATTTATATTTCACAGAACTGCATATTCGAAGTTAAAAATTACCTACATCTTCGTGTGGAGTAATTTCACTGGCCAAAGAGAAACCATCGACTTGAAAAGATGGACATGTTTTTTCGATTTTAGTAAAATTTTCAAAAGTTAACTTGAATGATGAATCAAATATTTGACCTACCAAACTGATATCATTAATGAATCCTGGTTGCTATTCGTTGCTGGAAAGAAAAATTCGACTTTTGTTTCAGCGGGTGGATGGCAACCATTCGGTGGACAGGGTGGCATTGATTGGCCAATTTCACAATTTGCACCACCATCATCACAACCAGTTTTGGGCCAGAGTCGTCCTGCCCACCCCGAATCTTGGATATCATATTTCGTACTATGTCTAGGTTCTAGAAGAGTTACTCCTGGTCTCAATGGAGGTCCCTGGTTATTAGTTAGAGTTTCGATCCAAATTGGAAAGTTATTCTTGTTCGTGACTTCAATATATCGAAGACCGGCTGTGTGTTGCACACAAAGAATGGCTACGAACATTAACCACCACATTTTTTTCTACTTGATTACTTGACTTGCTTCAACTGTTTTTTTCGAACTGAATTGTTTGGTTCGGTGCTACTCCTTTTATACAGTGGTTCTTGTGTCGAGAATTTGCAGTTAATCTGCGTGTTTACATAATTTTTTTTATATCAACAGTTATAAATAAATAACAAGATAAATAATGATAATTGTTTTCGATTGCAATTGTTTATTTTTCAAATGAATTGATGAACAAATGATTGAAACAATGGTTTCTAGCTAATCTTAATCGATAATAATTTTGCTTGCATTTGCGACGTTTCATAACACAAATAAAATGATTATTGACTTAAGTTGACTTGAGACCATTGTTCTTTCAATGTTCATCTTCGATTCACAGACTATCAAGTGAACAAATGATAACTATTTAAAGAATAACTCATGGGTGATATACCAAATAAATGTTTTATTTTTGGTTTTATGTAGGCATTCATATACAGTCATGAAAATACAATTTGGACTTCTGTTTGGGACATTTTTCGAGCTATTGAGATATTTCGATGTTTTTTATTGCATGAAAATACCAATCTCAGCTCTGAATATTTGGTTCGAAAAGCTCCTTTTTTTGAAACAGTGATGGTTTTGAGAATGATCTGCTACTTGGAGTAGTAAAAATTATATAGATTTCCTGTTGAATTTTAAGTGTAATCTTTCAATTTATGTCCATATTTTTTATTCCATTGTTATTAATTTGTTTTTATTTACTGTCAATTCCATTGTCATTAGATTCTATTATTGAAATATTTTTGTTATTAATATCGCTGTAGTTATCCTTCTCTATGTTCGAGTTTAATAACAGTACAATTTATAGTTTATTATTTTCTCTTTTGGTTTTATGTTTAACTTTTGACTTCGGGCTGTTTTACATTTTTTATTGAGTCAAGAAATGAGTAATTTTTACTGTAGGGGCTTATGTGTCACACAATTCAGTGCAAGTTTCACAATTGAGTAGAGAAAATGTAGACAGCCATACGAGTGTTGTGAATCTGTGTGAAGATTCGCGAATCCCTGAATCAAACTATTCAAAATTGAATACAATTTCGACATAATCAGTTGCTCGCAGCTGACTCATGTAGACTCGTAGATTCGCCAAAAACATTTCTGTACTACGATTGGCAGCGACTCGTGTTCAGATTTCTATGAAATTGTACGTGTCTACATAGGAATTACGTGCGTTTTTCTGACTCGCTACGCTCAGTGATGCACGTCACCAGTTAATCGGCTGGTATACAGTACATTTGTCCAGTTGCGACTTCGGTCAAACATTCGTTGTTTCGAATATGCATCAAAGCATACTGTGACTCGTGTATATGGTTTACCAGTTACACCGTGTGTGCACAGCGCGCGAACTGAGACGAAGCACCACTTCGTGAGAAGTCGCGCGCCATGCAAACACGGTGTAACTGGTAAACCATATACACGAGTCACAGTATGCTTTGATGCATATTCGCAACAACCAATGTTTGACCGAAATCGCAACTGGTCAAATGTACTGTATACCAGCCGATTAACTGGTGACGTGCATCGCTGAGCGACAAATAGGCCCCTCATTTCTACTTCTTGCCTAAGAAGCGAATTCTACAGCAAAACTGCTTGCTGTCGGGCAATTGTGTAATCCGCCCTCATCATCATACGAATAACTGTAAGCGGTTGGACATTCGCTTCGTAGAAGTTTAACGTATTCAGTTTGAACGACGATACCCTTTCGACACTCTTCAACTGAAACTGGACTAGGGCAGCAAAGAAGTCGACCGTCTCCTTCCTGTTCATTCTTTCCTTGACCATATGGAGGAGGATAATTCCATCTTTTGCATGGTGACAAACAAGCGACGTCATTATTGCTTCTACCTTTAACGGCTAAGGCTCCTAAGCCACTGTGTTCATTTTGTGGGCATTTTGACAAATGAAGGTTGCAATTAGTTTTTACGCAATTATCTTTGTTATATGGTTGACCCTGAGAATGATATCAATTTATTTATTTAATTATCTCACCGTTTAATCGAATTAAATTGATATTTTTTTTTAAATTTGATTTTAAAAATTAAATTCTATTTTAACCGAATTTTAAGTCAAAGATTTCTACATGATACAGTTATTACTTACGTCTTTGAAAGGTGTGATTATACTGGCCAAAGAGAAACCATCGACCTGAAAAGTTGGAAATTATTTTTGATTATAGAAAATAGCTTGAAATTGATGAATCATATATTTGACCTACCAAACTGATATCATAAAATGAATCCTGGTTGCTATTTGTTGCTGGAAAAAAGAATTCGACTTTTGTTTCAGCAGGTGGTTGACAACCGTTCGGTGGACAAGGAGGCATCGATTGGCCAATTTCACAATTTGCGCCACCATTATCACAACCAGTTTTGGGCCACATTCGTCCCGCCCAGCCCGCATCTGGAATATCGTATTTTGTATTAGCATTCGCATCCAGACGAGTTACTCCTGGTCTCAATGGAGGTCCCTGGTTATTAGTTAGAGTTTCGATCCAAATTGGAAAGGTATTCTTGTTCGTGACTTCAATATATCGAAGACCGGCTGTGTGTTGCACACAAAGAATGGCTACGAACATTAACCACCACATTTTTTTCTACTTGATTACTTGACTTGCTTCAACTGTTTTTTTCGAACTGAATTGTTTGGTTCGGTGCGACTCCTTTTATACAGTGGTTCTTGTGTCGAGAATTTGCAGATTAAATGCGAAATCGCATATTTTTAATAATAAAATTTAAAAATAAATTATATTTGCAATTTTTTTTACATGGTTACATAAACAAATGATGATTATTGTTTGAAGAAAAACCCATGGAACGTGGTTTTACCCAAGATATTTTGAACTTGATTCAGATATAAAAAAAATGATTGGGCTGGTAACATTAGATAAGACACAACTCTTAGTGAAGTGGTTTCTGTCGTTTCGAAAAGATGTGAGAGGGTGAGGCAAAATTTTAGACTCATGCCCTTTACTCGTCAAATTCCAAAAGTATATTAGAAATCATCATTGAAATACAACAATTTACATTACACTTTTAAAACCTATACCTCTTTTTACTATATGAAAATATTCTATTCTTATAAAAGCTCATTTGCACACCCTATGTGAATGCCAAAAATCTTATCAGGTTGCGTCAAAATAAGATAGCATCCGTACTTTCCCTGATCTTGTATTACAACTCATTGATGATTAAAGTGTATTCATTTATTTATTTATTCAACCGTGAATTCTGATACATTTAGAATTTGGTGAGAACAAGGTATTGGTCAATAATTTTGTCTCACCGCATTAATAGTCACATTTTTTTTTGTAAAATATATTTTTTACTAAGATTTAGGCCTAATCTGATTAGTTACAAGTGACCAGCCCAATCATTTTTTATATTTCGATCAAAATAAAATATTTTCTCGGGGTAAATCATGGGGTTTTCTTCAAAAAATAATCAACATTTGTTTACAAATTCATTTAAAAACAAAAGTAATCATAATTTATTTATAAATTTTGATATAAAAAAATATGCAATTTCTTATTTAATCTGCAGTTTTTCAATACCAGGACCATCTTGGGAGTAATAAATATTTTCAAGCATTTGCATAGCATTTAAAAGTGTTGTTATTAAATATGATAATACGTATACGGTATACTCCGTCTGATACACATTTGCCATATTTGCAGGCCATTCCAATCATTTTCCCCAGTTATTTTTCCGTCTATGGAAATCTCTATAGAGACCACTATATAAAGGCGTTGCGTAGAGCCAAACAATTCAGTAGAAAGATCAATTGAAGCTAGTAAAGTAATCAAGTAAAAAAAACGTGGTGGTCGATTTTCGTAGTCATTCTTTGTGAACCTTCTTCGATATATTGAAGTCACAAACAAGAATAACTTTCGAATTTGGCTCGGAACTCCAACCAACAGCTCGGATGTCTAGAAAAAAGTCAGTTTATTCTCGGGCGCAAACCGTTTACTATTGGAAATCTTGATACTCTTTTTAAGACTTTTTGGTTTTTTATCACCAGATAGATTATTACGGGTTTTGTGTCTGATTAGTCGACCATACCTGAACGGTATTGTTGTCAATCCCAATCGGTAAATTAGTTTGATTTACAAATTTAATAAGGCAAAGGGTAATCATTTGATCAAAACTAGAAAGCATCATTCTATAAGTGAAAATTCCCTCGTTATCTCGGTAGCTGATCAGTGATCACTATATTGAGCAGTGAGCATTATTGTTGCAATCTTACTGATAACCAGAGCATTGAATTTGCTGTTAACAGCGGCTGTTGGTTACTTTCTTGTACATGCGACACACTGTAGGATGTAGGTCCCGCACGCCAAGTTATATATGCAGAGCTATGTGTGTACACACTACATACGTGCATGTTCATGCCTGTTAGAGTTGGTGCGCTGGGCCTACAGTGTGTCGCATGCATAACAAGAACGTAACCAACAGCTGTTGTTAACATCAGCTGTTCAACAGCAGCGCTTCATAGCCAGCAGATTCAATGCTCTGCTGATAACCTATGTCGTTTCCGCACATATTTTACATGTTTTGTTGTTTATCATATCGCAATCTTGTTCGCAATACTGCATAATGGTGACGAAATATTATGAAATATTGCAAAATCATATGACAAACAACAAAACATGTAAAATATGTGCGGATTTAATTTTAAAAAAAATTTCATTTCAAATTCATTTTTTATTTTTTTTTAATTATTATTTTAATTGTTTCGGCATCAATGCAATAATAAACATTCCGGAGTGGATTAGAGCGCGAACAAATTTGAACAACATTATTCCGTCCTTTTGTGTAGCGGTGCTCTACAATTATGTATCGTCTTATTATAACTGTGTGAATCTGTTGACTGAATCCAAAGTACTGCAATACAAGTAGATCAGCAAAGACGATGTTTTCCAAAAACATGTAAAATTTCCTCAAAAATCCAACGAAAACTAAATCAGTTCCTGTTTCCTGTTGTTTTTTGTTCATTTCTATCATGTTTCGAAACGAAATCATTTTTTTCATTCGTACGGATGGATTTCGGAATTTCGTTCGAATAGACATGGATACTAAATATACGGAGGAAAATTATTCGTACGATTCGTATGTTAAGTCTCTATGTCTATTCGTACGAACTTCTGAAATTCATCGTATGAATATCCTGTGAGGCTAAATCTAAATTTTGTACGATTTTCATCGTACGAATAGACGATGGGCACCATTATAGTAGTAGTTGTTTAAAATATTTTAATATATAGATTTAAAAATTACTACCAGATAAATACGTAAACAGCGGTTCAGGTTGTTGATTAAAAGGTTCCAGATGAACTTTTTCATTTGAACAACATACTCCAGCTGATTCATCATGGAATTTCGAAGCTCTGCAATACACGCATAGAAATTCCATTTTTCCTATTAAAACTCGTGAATGTTCACCATAATTTGGGCATCGGGATCATAATTAAAAGCCACCATTTTCCAACTTGTGAAATTTTGGTCTTGAATCACTAATGCGTATTCGATCAAGTTCATTTTGCCTTTGTTGCTCTTCAATGGTTAATTCGGATCTTGCCTTTTTCTTATTTAAACGATCTTTTTTTGCGGATTTCACTTTGTCCGGGTGTCTCTGGCTACTTCCATTCATACACACAGAAAAGAATCCCCGGAAATTTTAGGTGTTCGCCGTAAAATTTGACATTTATATATAAATTTCTATATACATTTTACCGGCAACACTTGAATTTTCCGGGTGATGACATAATTTCAAATATTTCAACAGAAATTAGCGCCATCTGTCATTTCAAGCGGTAAAATATATATAGTATTTGATAAAATGTTCGAAATTATGTCATCACCCGGAAAATTGAAGTGTTGCCGGTAAAATGTATATAGAAATTTATATATAAATGTCAAATTTTACGGCGAACACCTAAAATTTCCGGGGATTCTTTTCTGTGTGTAAACGGTTTGTTTCACGGCCAAGGTCACTTTGTGCGGGTGTTTCTCTGTTTCTAGCCTTCTTTTCTTCTCTGTTTCTAGCTAGATTCATGACGAAGATCACGTGTTATTTTTCCTTCCGAACGTCTTTTTATTTGAGTTTTTGTTTTTGTTTTTTTTCCGATTGAGCACTTTTTGCGTGTCATTTCGATTACTTTTATTCAACGAATAAAAAAAATCAATTAATTCAAAATGCATACTACGTTAATTCACCTTGAAATTAAAATCAAACTTTTGATCACGTCATTTATGTATATACGTTGCACACATTGCTTATATTTACTGTTAAAATACTGCTATGACCATGTATTGAGGATTATCCATGGTTATCAGCTACATACACACATGGTAACAGAAAACATAAAAAAAAATTGCATTTATAAGAACCTTTCTGAGGCCGCGAGAAATCAAACGGGAAACATAACATTAAAATTATTGGAATTATAAACCCCTTCATATAGCTGTTTTGAATGGTAATGTTGATTATTTGTTCTCACTAAATAGGAAAACAGTTTTTTTTTCATCGATCTGTGTTATTTTTCAGTTCACAAGAATGTTGCTGAACTTCACATCCGTAAAGGAGCCAATGTTAATCACCAAGGAACACATGAATCAACAAAAGGAGAGATAACTCGCGACATACTCACACAGAGACGAACATTCAGATTTATATATATGGATTCTGTATAATTTATTTTCAATCTTGGATTTTGCCTACGGCATACAAATCGCGTTCAAAATTAGCATGGATGCACGTTAAGGTCACAAAAATTTTAAGAAAAATTTCCACTCTATACCAATACCGTAAGCAATTAAAAAGACAAATAACTTGAGCGGTTTTTTGACAGAATATTAATCGATGGTTCAACAAAGCAACAATATTGGTTGGTATGGTCATAAATGGACAAAAAAATGTTTTGAAATTAATTCTACACTACAATCGAAAAGGGGAATCGAAGGAAATCATCCGATTATTCAGCTAAATTGGTTCAGCTATTCGTCACCTGAAAAATACACATCGATCAAAAAGATCAAACCAATTTCTTATTTTGTAAAAAAAAAAAAATTCAACATTACCATTGTTAGTAGCCAATGAATCTATCTCAATTGCTCTGCAATATTAATTTTGTTTCCTTTACCGAAAAAGTTTGGCGACATCATCGTGACCTGAGCAATAATAATAAAGATCAATGGAAAAGATCAAAGCGATATCTTATTTAGTCAGCTTTACCATTGATAACAGCTATTTGAAGAGGTGTCTGATTCGAATTATTTTTAACATTAACATTTGCTCCTTTACGGATGAGAAGTTCAGCAACATTCTTGTCACCTGAAAAATAACACAGATCGATGAAAAAATAAAACTGTTTTCCAATTTAGTGAGAACAAATAATCAACATTACCCTTCTTAGCAGCTAAATGAAGGGGTGTATCATTCCAAAAATTATGCATTTCATAATTAGCTCCTTCACTGAGTAGACGTTTAGCGACATTCTTATGACCTGAAAAATAATTTTGATCGATAAATAAGATCAAATCAGTCTTCTATTTGGTAAAGACAAGTATCCAATTATTACCATTCCGAGCAGCTAAATGAAGAGGTGTGTCTTTCACATAATTTTTACTATTAACATTGGCTCCTTTACGGATGAGAAGTTCAGCAACATTCTTGTGACCTGAAAGATAACACAGATCGATGAAAAAAAAACTGTTTTCCAATTTAGTGAGAACAAATAATCAACAATACCATTCAAAGCAGCTAAATGAAGGGGTTTATAATTGCAATTATTTTCCATTTCATAATTAGCTCCTTTACTGAGTAGAAGTTCAGCGACATTCTTATGACCTGAAAAATAATTTTGACCGATAAATAAGATCAAATAAGTCTTCTATTAGTAAAGACAAGTATCCAATTATTACCATTCCGAGCGACTAAATGAAGAGGTGTCTCTTTCACATGATTTTCACTATTAACATTGGCTCCTTTACGGATGAGAAGTTCAGCAACATTCT